ATATATATATATATATATATATATATATATATATATATGTGTGTGTAAACCTGATCAGTATGCATTTAGTAACTAGATAAATATCTGTCTTAGCTTTCTGTCTCATTTTATAGCTACAGTAAGAAGTAAGCACTGGTAATCATAAACACAATAATTTGAAATTAGTTTTAGCTGTTTTTTCTTGTCACTTTTGGTTTTATCAAGCTAGCTGAAGAATAGAAGAATCTTTTACTTAAGAGTATAAACTATAAATAGCCAGAATATTTATTTTTTTGGGACGTTGCCATGTTGTATTTTCAGAACCAGTTTAACTGATCTATTATTTATTCAATATTATAAAATGATTTTACATGTGAACAAGTCACAAAACGAGTTATAGAGGAATAATTCTAGTTAAAAAATACGGCAAAAGTAGGGATTAGATTAACATATCATGGACATAATGTTCAGATACCAAAACATGGATTTAAATTACCATGTTTAAATAGTGGGATTAGAAACAAGAGGTTAGCATGTTTTTATTTAATAAAAATGAAGTATTGTCATACTTACATGTAGGTCTGAATGGTATCAACGTTAGTATATTTATTGAATGATGTTATTTTGGACACAAAACATGAGCACGCACCAAGTAAACAAAGAGGTCTGATCATCATGTCACTGTGATGGAGGGCATGCTCTTCAAGGTTAAAACTGAAGAATAGGACAAATATGTTGCACTTGTCTTTAATTATTAGAGTTTGTTGTATATTCTGTTGTATTGTTTTTCAACTGATGATTCCTACTGTCACAAATAGACGCCCTTTGGTCCAGAACAGCCCCAAAAATCACTGTTACATGTGACTAAGCTGCATGCATTTAATTTTTTCATTTTACTTTACAGAATAAGCGCCACGCTGTCACATAAAATGCACAAGAAGTCCCATTTATCCCAGCAGAGGGATGATGTCCATGTGTGCATCATGTGCTTGAGAGCCATCATGAACTACCAGGTGGAGCATTTTCAGTCTGTCATTACAAAAATGTTGCCAGAGCAAGTAAATCTGCCCTCAAGTGGATCAAATCCCTGCGTTTTCCTTGGAATAAATGTGATTTATGTGACTGGATATAAATAATGTCTTTATAGATTTGATTCCACCCATTGTCTTGTTTGAATCTTGTTTTGCTTTCAGTCTGGTTTTAACTTGGTGATGACTCACCCGCGCTGTGTGAACGAGATCACCCTCAGCCTCAACAGCAGGAATCCCAGGTGAGTGCGTTTGTGTGTGAGAAACAAAAACCGTTCTTATCCACATCTAACATCATCCACATCTTCTACCGTGGCAGGACCAAAGCTCTCGTGTTGGAGCTGTTGGCCGCCGTGTGTCTCGTCCGAGGAGGACACGACATCATTCTTTCTGCTTTTGACAACTTCAAGGAGGTGAATGTTTCTATTGCAGCAGCCTCGTGTGGATTTCTGTTGTTTAGTAATTCCTGCAGACTTCCCCTCTTTCACCACTCATCTTGTGAGTGACACAGTGCACCCTCTCACGTGCCGTAATCATATTTTTAACACACTTATCGGTCATACATGAGTGAGTCAAGTGTTTTGCTATGGAAGTGGGACAATAAATTCAATAGCTTTAAGTTAAAAATGTGCATGTATTTTTGGCAGCTGCTTAAACGCACACTCCAACACGTTTTTATTGTCCGACAGGTGAGCAAAGAAAAGAACCGCTTTGAGAAGCTGATGGAGTACTTCCTCAACGATGACAACAACATTGACTTTATGGTACGAGCTCACATTTGCCATCTTCACCACAGGGTGTGCGGCAGAAGAACTCACAGACTGGATACTTGATGTACCGGTCCGGTTTGTCTGCAGGTGGCCTGCATGCAGTTCATAAACATCGTGGTTCATTCAGTGGAGAACATGAACTTCCGGGTGCATCTTCAGTACGAGTTCACTCATCTGGGTCTGGACAAGTATTTGGAGGTAAGCGTGGTGGAACTAGTTAGTGATTAGCTTTGTAAGAGTCAAATAATTCTCGTAGGAGTTCAAAAATGCTATAGATTTTATGATTAGGTGATTATCTTTTTTGTTCATTAGAGTCTGAAACAAACAGAGAGTGAGAAGCTGCAGGTCCAGATCCAGGCCTACCTGGACAACGTGTTGGATGTAGGAGCTCTGCTGGAGGATGCTGAACACAGGGGAGGGGTGCTGGAGCATTTGGAAGACCTACAGGATGCCAACTTGCAGGTAGGAAGTGACATGATAATAAGACTCCTTGAATTAAATAAAGGATTTGTGCTGTGCGGAACAAATGTAGGTAAAGGCGTTTTGCTCGTGTGTGTTGCAGCTGAGTGCTCGGCTTCAGGAGATGGAGAGTCAGACCACAGAGAGGATATCTGAGCTGGAGACGCAGCTCATGCAAGCTACCAAGGAGACCGAGCTGCTCAAAGTAAGGATGCTGCAGCGCATGCACGAGCTTCAGGCGAAAAACGAGCGTGATCATCACCATGACTTGTTTTAAAAGAAGTAAAACAAAACAAAAAAGAGTTTGATTAATTTAATTTAATAGAAAGCTGAAACTGTTCGGAATCAGAATGATCTTTATTATCATTGTACCGATACAGTGAGATTATGTTCATACAGTCGTCTGAAAGATGGGCGGAGTGCACGTGGCTGCTGCTACAAGAGCGCGGCGTCTTGTTCTTTATCAGAAAACTTTTTTAGATAGAAAAAGGTAAAAGGCCATGAGGATGGGTAGTGGTATTACAAAAAAGATCTCTTCACATCTTGTCCTATCAGGACACGATTTGAGACATCGAAAGCCTCTCCCAGCAGCACATTTATAAACACATCACGTTTTCATTTGACGTGAAGACGTTGAGATTTGTCCATGAAGCACTTCCAGGTGGGCCACAGTTCTGATAAGATGTTGTTCAGCTGGTAGTGCTGATAAGTCTGCACAAAAGTTCTCGGGGGGTGGGGGTTGCGATAGATCAAGCTATTTCCTTAGTTTATCCATGTCCCAGGAGAAATTTGATAGTCGGTCTGCTTTTGAGGCCCAACGGGGGAGTCAGACTCAGACAAGCCACAACTGTTGATTTTTTCAGGCAGACTGTTTTTTTCTTGTCAGCTTTGAGTCCTGCTGGAACTTTCCAGATCCAAAATGGCCAGATTCATGGGCATTCCACTGATCCGTGCTATGAGCCTCCTTCAAAGTTGACTCCAACATGCTGGCGAGTCCTAGAAGCCTGCCATTCTCACAAATCGCTTCCATCTTACGTTTTAGCTCGTAAATCAGCTGATTTTGAGTTCTCGTAGCATGAACCAAAAATATTTTGTCGATTGCGTTGAAAGTCCAGCTCACCAGATCCATAACAGTATTTTTCATTCGGAAGATGCGTAACAGGAGCTCCGAGACACAGACAGCAAAAAAGCAGGAGGAAGAGGAGAACTGGGGAGGGAGAGGAAAAGGCGTCCGCCTTGAGCGAGTGCAGAAAAAAAAACTTATTTTTTATCATATAAAGGGAGAGGTTTTGTACTTATTTTATAAATGTATAAATTTTCTCAGTGGTTCTGTGGCAACAACAAACACAAATATTCATTATAAGCAATTAAGCTACTGAGTGGGCGGCCCCAAATGTTTACATAAAAACCTCCGTACGGATGAAATATAATCACTACTGTGATTTTATTGGTTTTATATTTTTGTCAGTCACTATAAAATAAGCTTTTATAAAAGTCTGAACCACATTCATGTCCACATCAGGATAAATTTGAACTTGCAATCTTTTAAAATTCCAAATAATTTTCCTAAATCAGTTATTTCACCTTTGACCTTCATGGTCAGACAGCTTATATAGGTCCTTTGTAAAATATTGTAGGAACCAATTCTGGCTACTTACTGTACATGATGAGGCTGGACAGTTATTTGCATGCAAACTGAAGAATGGATAAAAAAAAATAAAAAAAGCTAACAGCTAAACTTTAGCTAATAAAGCCAAAAGATCCAGCCAAGTCAGTCCTTCAAATGACGGCAAATATAAAGTTGCAAGATGTGACTCGTCCTCAAGTTGGCATAAAAGTTAGTATTTTAAAATGACTGTAAATTACAGAAAAATAGAAGCAACCTCACATAATTTAGCCTTTTTTCTTTGGTTAAAATGTGTTGGAATTACCTCGATACAATTGCGGTGGTTCCCAATGCTGGTCCCTGAGGAACACCATCAGGCATGTTTTAGCTGTTTCCCTGCTTCGACGCACTTGGTTTGAATGATTTGGTGATTAACAGTCTTTGGCAGAACTTGAGGAAGTAATTAAATCATTGAATCAGGTGTGTTGAAGCAGGGAAACAGCTAAACACGCAGGGTGGTGTTCCTCAGGGACCTGGGTTAGGAACCTCTGCATTAATGTAGCAGACAGAAGAGTCATCTGTTTTTAGGCAGAGATGTGAAGTGGGTCAGGTGACTGTTTTCTTAGATCCTCAGTGACTGAAAGTCATTTTAAGGCCAGGAGAATTATTTATTTTATTTTTGTGCTTATTATTCTGATACGTTCAGCTTTTATTAACTCGTGAGTTTTTAGGATTTTTTTAATGTTTGAGTGAGACTTTAAAGGTAAAACGTTCAATCCAGTTCAGTAAACTGTGACGTGCAGCACAGTGGAAATTACTTTTATAGACAAGCGGTTGATTTTTAATGGACTGTGGCAGTTTCTGATTCCCGACTGTCCTTCCAGAATCAAACAAAAACAACTCTAGGATTCATAAAAAAATAAAAATAAAAATCATAAGGCTACTCTTAAAAACAGACAGGGTGTCAGCCGCGCAGGCAGAAACTGGAAGTTGGTTCCACGTGAGAGGAACCTGATAACTGAAAGCTCCCATTCTGCATTCTGAAACTCTAGGAACCACAAATAAACCTGCAGTCTGAGAGCAAAGTGCTCTGGTTGGAAAATATGGAAGAGTACGATGTATAATAAAAGATGGAGCTAGGTTGTTGAGCGATTTGTATGTTAGATTTTAAATTCTATTCAGAACTCCAGTTAGAGAGAAGCTTCAGACCACGACCTGGATATACAGAAGAAGCTCTTTGAGGGACGAGTCTTGCTCATGGGTCTGTCTCTGTGCGTCACAGGAAAGCCTGCGCGAGTCGTGCTCCCAGGTTAGCTCTTTGCAGCAGAGAGAGCGGGAGCGCGAGCTGGACAGGGAGAGGGAGAAGGACAGGGAGCAACTGAGCGCCTCCATCAGTCAGTCCTCCTCTGAGCTGGAGCAGAAGATCCAGGAGCTGCAGGACAAGGGGCTCATCCAAGTGGGACGCAACGCCTCCGGAGGTCTGGACATCCAGGTGGTGCCCGTCAGGGTTGTTGAATACATCCAAAGCCCACCTTCAACTGTCCAAACAAGATCTCCTGCATCAACCCTCTCCTCATCACCTCCTCCACCTGCTGCTCCTGGTGGACCTCCTCCCCCTCCCCCTCCTCCACAATCAGGAGATGTTATGATTGCTGCACCTCCTGCTCCTCCACCTCCTGGAGCTGGTCCACCACCTCCTCCTCCTCCACCTACTTGTGCTGGTCCACCACCTCCTCCTCCACTTCCTGGAGTTGGTCCACCACCACCTCCTCCTCCCCCACCTGGAGTTGGTCCACCACCTCCTCCTCCCCCACCTGGTGGTGGACCCCCACCGCCACCTCCCCCACCTGGGGGTGGACCCCCACCGCCACCTCCCCCACCTGGGGGTGGACCCCCACCGCCTCCTGGAGTGCCAGACACTCAATCTGGTGAGAACAAACTTGTAAGTTAAGGTAGAAATGGAGATTCATGATTGACCGTTCTGGTGTTTCCTCAGGGTTTAAGAATAAGAAACCCATTCAGACCAGGTACAAGATGCCTTTGTTGAACTGGCAGGCTCTGAAACCGAACCAAGTCTCAGGCACCGTCTTCAACGAGCTTGACGATGATCAGATCTTAGGGGTGAGATCACACGAAGCCCAAAACAAATTTGGTTCTGAAGTGACTTTTGAAATCAAAGTTACTCGTTTTCTCGTTTTTTGTGTCTCTGTCTCACATTCGGCCTCGACCAGGAGTTGAACATGGACGTGTTTGAGGAGCAGTTCAAGACTAGAGCCCAGGGAACTCCAGCAGATCTGTCCAAGATTAAGATCAAAACCCAAAAGACGCCAAGGAAGACGTCACTAATAGATGCAAACAAAGCCAAGAATCTGGCAATTACTCTGCGCAAGGGGGGGATGAACCCCTCCACAATCTGCACCGCTATAGAGACGTACGTGCCTCTCACTGATGGTTCAGTATCGTCCTGTAACTCCACTCATACAAACACTGTTTCTCTTCTGCTTAGATACGACCAGCAGGCTCTGTCCATAGACTTCCTGGAACTGATTGAACATTTCATACCATCGGACTTCGAGATGAAACTTCTAGTCAACTACGAGAAAGATGGCCGTCCCCTGGAGGACCTGACGGGCGAGGACAGATTCATTCTACGCTTTGGGAAGATTCCTCGCCTGACCCAGAGGATACACACTCTGACTTTCATGGGCAACTTCCCTGAGAGCGTCAGACGCCTACAGCCGGTCAGCGACTTCACTCGGAGCAGAGTCTAATCTGATGTGTTGATGACGGAGCAGAGTCTAAT